GCCCCCCTCCACCTCCGCCTTGAGATTCGCTTGCCGTTTGCTTGTCGTCCCCCGTTGCTCCGTCGAGCCGTGCCCGAGCACAACGCGTCCCCGCCATGCCTATCCCCCAAAAGCAACCGCATAGTCGCACCAAACCTTGCCGTTTCCCGCCGCCTTACCGCACCCTCGCGCAACCCCCCGCGGCATGCACGACCGAAGGAGCATCCGCCATCCCGCACGACGCGCCGATCCGCATGCCCCCCGCGTTTGCCACCTTCACTCTACAGTACCCTCCGTCGCACGCACCCCATACAAGTTGTATGAGGTGCGTGATACAACATACGCGCGCAGAGCCCCAGCACCGGGGCCGCACGGCGCATGAAATAAAACTCTACAACATTCCCCCAACAACCAAAGCCCGCACCAGTGCGCCTCCACCCCGCCGCTTCTGTCGCGGCGCCCCGTTCCACGCGCGCGGCCCGCGCGCGCGGGGCGCCGCGGAGCCGCAGTACCCACCGGACCCACGCCGCCCAACGCCACGGCGCGCCTGGATGCGGGCGCGCGCGCGCCGCTCGCCGGGTGGCTCGCGCTCCTCACGTTGGTCCGGCCCGCGACGTTTCCGCGCGGCGACGCAAACGCCTTCGCGCCGGCGTTCACGTGCCAGTAGCTGTAGCGCATGGCCCACGCTGCATCGGGGCCGGCCGATTACGCCACCGCACCCGCTGTGCCCGTATTGCACCCGTATTGCACGAGGAGAATGCTGTACTGTACCGTGGTGTGGTATCAGCAGCGGCGGTCTCGAGACTGCCACCAGTCCTCGTGTCTGCACGCGCAGGGCCCGGCGCCCTCGCCGGTGTATTCCGTTTGTCGCGGGCCAATGGGGAATTGAGGTGGCCCAATGCACCGTGTGTGCCTAATTCGATGGATCTAGATGTACAACGCATACACGTGGAGGTGCCAGATTTAGATCCTGTTTGGATGAGTAGAGTCTTCTCTGCACTTACGGACACGGCGTGTACCATGAGCCCTTCTTACCGCTCCTCAAGGCGCTGCGCCGCTGCGCGCAATGTATTTTGGGAGTGCCGATAGTTATGCCAAGTTCCACCGCGTTTGTCTTCGGTCTTGGGCGCGCTTAATTTCTTCTCGTTTATCGATACCCTTGAATGGTCGACTTTATTGAGAGAGTATTGGGGCGGCCCGACACTAGAGCATCAGGGTCTACCGAGGGTCTGTAGAGCAACCGGGGGAAGCCGTAACCTGCGTCGATACCCTTCGAAGGGTACTTCACAGTGCAACGTATGCTGTCCATACGATGCCTATCCAGCTGCGGTACTGTACCAAGGGTACTGTGGCGGAGGTACTCGAGTACACGCTCGCGTCTCGATTGCGCAAATGGGCCGTGCAAACTTGCACATACTGTACAGTGTGGACTTCAAGAGACATCGATTCTCGCACACTACACGTGTACAGTACAGTAACGGTACTGTAGTCCTCAAACTTTCCGAGCACGGTTATCCTTGTCCGCGGTGCCGAGGACTTGAACGTTGACGAAGAAGAGCAGTTGATGAATGCAGAGCGCTGGAAAGGGTCCACCTCAAATCCGAAAAAATCCGAAAACCTTTGCCTCCATTCATCATCTTCTCTCTGCCATCCACGTCTCCTTACGGAGTGGAAAGCTGACGCAAGTAAATTACCCTCGGTCCCGCTCATAAAATGGCCGGTCCTGACGTGTTCGACGTGAATAACTTGTCTAATTGCTCCTAGTAAGCAGAACGAACAACTGAATTTCTCGAAACGAAACCTCACTTGATTTTGGATACACACGTAGACACCATTCGCGTTGCCCCCACTTTGAGTCCACGGAGCAGTTGCCAAACTGAAACTCTGAAACACCACTATCGAAAACGCCCATTGTGTTATTATTCTCCCGCCTAATGCGAGCATTGCGTACAGTGCCATGCTCATTCGTCAGGAAAAAAACACCATATACGAACCAGTGTCCAGGGCAACTATCCGTTATGATAAGCTCGCGGCCCTGTGTTATGACAAAACAACAAATAGTCGAGTATATATACAGAGCAAAACCAACTGAACTTCGAGCAGAGCGACGTCAGCTGAGGTTCCGGGTTCGATTCCCGGTGGGCGCACTTTCACTAGCGCCTATAGTCAAATGGTATGATATCAGCCTTCCATGAAGGCTCTCCGCTCACCTTTTTGTTTTGTCTATCGTTACATCTCATGTTCATTTTGCCTGCATGCGGGTGTTCAAGAGTTACTCTTTACATTTATGACCGTTCCTCTTCTATGCTGAAAGCATGCGTACCGTACAAAACGGGAATCTCAAATTATTTAGTTGACCAAGGTCGAACCAAAAGCGCCACTGGATGCTCGATGCCAACACCAACGCAATCCCCCTCCCACGCGGGGCTAATGGCACATCAGCATGCTTGCTTCTCTTTTTATCGCAAAACTCCCTATGATTCCTCTCTCCGCCAAACCCCACTCCTCCCCCCTGTCTTCTCTATCAACTGCACGTTCCTAATGGTAATCCCCTTTCCACCCGCCTTACACATGTCATAAACCGTCAACGCCGCCACCGAAGCCGCTGTCAACGCCTCCATCTCCACCCCCGTCCTGGCCGGCGTCGTGGTCGCCGTCGCCTCAACGCGCACCTCGTTCCGCCCGCTCTCCAGCCACAGCTCCACCCCGACATGCGCAAGCTCCACCGGGTGGCACAGCGGGATCAGCGACGACGTCTGCTTGGCCCCCATTATCCCCGCGAGTCGCGCAACGCTGAACACGTCCCCCTTGCTCGAGTGCGGCGACGACCCACCCGCACTTTGACTCGCCTTGAGTAGCCGACATATCTTCTCGCCCACGTGCACCGTCGCCTCAGCCCGCGCGCTCCGCGTAGTCGCCTCTTTGTTCCCGATGTTCACCATCGTCGCTCGACCGGACGCATCTATGTGCGTTAGCTTCGCCTCCGTGCATACCCCCCGCAGCTGTGGGTGTAGGCCCGCCCACGGTACACGACATATATATCGCGGAATCATCGCCCTGTGCAGGATGGGATCCGTCTCGCGGTCCTGCCGAGTACAACGAGAGCTGCGGCAGAGCCCTCATTTGAACGCGACCACAACCTCTACAGTATTGGTTGAAAATCGATCATAATTCGTGTTCGTCCTTGTGCACTGTAGCGACCTGGGCCAATTGCACAGGAATCGATGTATGTTTCGTTTCTACTACTGTACTTCAATCTTGTGATGTTACCACCATCGCGGAGTCTGCTTTCCTCCACCGCTGCCGCGTCCGTCATGTCCTACGCATACTAAGATGATTCTTTTCAGTCCTTGAGACAGTTGCACCCAAATCTGGTACTCAACAAAAACGAAAACTGGAAGGAATTGTTACTTTGGAAAGTGCGATGGACTCATGTTTTACGATACTAATGCAGCGTCTTGTCTACAAGACAACTTGACATAAACTATTGTTCAAAGTAAAACCAACAAGACATGCCTGTTCTAAACTACCGCCTGACACACCATTAAATCGCAGATAGATCAGTTTCAGAAAATGAAAAACGCCTCGAACTAGGATCCCATCATCGCCATTCGGAGGAGCTGCGCAAGACAGGATAGGCAATACATGCTCCATAAGAACTCCATGTCCCGTGTCCACCAGCGAAAATGTTGACGATAGGGGCAACAGCGGCGACTTTTGATGGAAGTACGTAGAAATGCATGCACGTAGGAGCAGCACTGGGTGTTCGGCGTACTGGTTAGCTTCAGGCTGACAAAAACCAAAAACATGAATGCTCCACAGATCGATCCACCATCTTGTTCAACAGAGAAAACATCGTGACATATCCCCTCAAAGCCGTTCAAGAAGGAGGAATGAAGTTACTGAAGAAGAACTTTTCCTTCTGGTTTCGTGAGATATTCCGCTGCCGATGAATGCATTAATATCAATGAATTCCATCTTCTGCATCTTGAAAGAGACGATCAAACTGACAGCAATCTGTTGTCGTTGGACCAAGTATCAGTCCTCGAGCGAAAAGGAGTTTGATTTACCCAATGCCGTTTTGGAATATTGAAGTAGCCTGCAATACCAAAGAGCCTTTCTAACACAGATACGGTACAGTAGTTGTGCCAATCCGCACGTCTCAAGAGCTGCATAAAGCCATTGAATTATTGATTTTGCAAGGCATTTCTATGGACAAAGGAAAGAAACTGAATGTGAGGAAATAGGGTCTCGGTTGTTCGTCTGGCGTATGATCGAACAGTTGAATTACTGTACAACACCGAATGTCATACCTTTTTTATTGTATGTATCCTGCGTGGAAAGTAGCTAATGCACGCAGGTTTTGAATTGTTTAGTGACGCACCCTGTGCGTCAGGGAAGCAAAAGAGCGTGCAGTCACGGTAGAAGGGGTTAGCCTCTTATCTGCCAGTCCTTTTGTAAGGCGACGTTTTCATGAGGTGCAGTAGATGATTACTGTACCGAAGAAGATGTTGAAAGACTTTTTATAAAAAATCTTTTATAATCAACGTGCTCTTGACACGAGAAGGGTCATACTGCAAGTACCAAGGGTACCAAGGGTACTGTAACCGGTTACAAGGGAGCAAGCGGCATTACAGTAATACCGCCTCTGAAGTATTGATCATCGAGCGGCATGTCTGTCGTCAGTGCTGTGTTGCTTTGTTTTGACGTTTCAGTTGCAATTACTGCTGAATAGTACTCTTTCAAGAAATATAATTGCGAATTATTTTCCAAGTTTGTTTTTGATCTCGTTCCTTGTGTCGGGTACAAGAACTCGTACAAGAGCACCGGTACAGGATCTGCGCAACCATTTCCGTGCCTGCCAACATCCACACTTATTTTTTATGGTGATTTCAAGACATTCTCTTTACACGTGTGGTCAGCGACCCAGCTCTTATGGTGTACCCAGGGGTACAGTGCATGAAGTAGGGTTGTGGACAAGGGAGAATTCGCATCCACATCCCCAGACTTTCTGCTCCTCTTTCCTCTCTCTCCAGCCCTCCGCCTCTCGAGGAACACACCGCTACCCGCTTCAACCAGCAAACTGGCAACTCCTCCCAAACATGTCTGTAGGAAAGCTTTTCCGGCTGACGTCCAAAAATATTTTCACCAATCTCGCCGCCGAGGAGCGTCTCTTCCAACGCACGGCCAACAAATCCTTGCTCTTCTACGTCAACTCGGACAGCGTCGTCCTGGGGCGAACGCAGAACCCCTTTAAAGAAGTTGACGTGCGTTATGCTGCCGCCAACTCCATCCCCATCGCCCGTCGCCGCTCGGGCGGCGGCACAGTTGTGCACGACGAGGGCAACCTCAACTTCTGCTTTGTCCGACCCAGGGAGGAGCACGAGCCCTTGTCGAACGCAAGGTTAGTCGCTAGCGTCCTCAGAGAGGACTTTGGCATCAAGGCAGTTGTCAATGACCGCGCGGATATCCTCGTTGAAGGCATGAAAGTGTCAGGTGCTGCGTATCGCCTATCCCGGAATCGCGCTTATCATCATGGGACGTTGCTTATACATTCGGATTTGGAGCGTCTGAAACGCGTACTGCGGAGTCCGTTGAGTGAAAAACTCACGGCAACGGGGACGAAGAGTGTTCCCTCACCAGTCACCAATCTGAGCGACCATTGCTCTGGTGGCATTGATACGGGTGCCGTTGTTGATGCTATTGCCGATCGTTTTTCGAGGACGAATGCATTTGTCACGCTGCTCTCAGCGGATCAAGTTGAGCGCCAGTATGGTGGAATGCAGGCTGAGAGAGGCGAGCTTTGCAGTCATGGCTGGGTGTACGGGAAGATACCGCGCTTTTCTTTTGATATCGGTGTCGGCGGAGATGAGATAAGCATTGCTATTGGAAAAGGAGCTATTGTTTCAGAAGTGTCAGTGAAAGGGGCCGATTCCAATGAACACGATCGACGGACTTTGGAATTGGCATCATTTTTGACAGATTGTTTTGCAAATCAGCCTTTCGATGGGAAGCATTTGGCTCACAGGATTCGAGACAGCGCGCTGCCGCAGTATGTTGGCATTGATGGAGAAGTGAAAGAGAGTCTGGCAAGGGATGTCCGGAAGGAGATACCATGCCAATTTTGGAGGGACGAGGGTGAAATCTCCTTTCAAGCTTATAGCTGACGTTTCTCCAACACTGGTGAAAACGAAGACAAACTGGAAATGGTCCTTCCAGAAGGACACGGCCTCGATAGCGAATGAATGGTTCTGCTCCTTCGTCCGTGACTCAAAATATACGAGATATGCTCGTCATTGCGCTCCCAGTGGCTCCCATTCATCGTAGATGACCTTTTCAAGACATAAGCCTTTCGCAGGGGCACTTTTTGGGACTAGTCGACGGTCTTTGGATGCGAAGAGGTGATCGATGTTTGAAATGTCCATGCTTCCACACGACACGCTGAGGATAGTGCCCATGATATTTCGAATCATTCTGTACATGGCGCCGTTAATAACGAATTCTATCCTGTACATTCCTGCACCTTCCGGAATGACCGTCGCTGAATGTATATGACGGATGGGGTTGGACAAGACCGGAGGTACAAACCCTGGCGGCGGATTAGTCGAATTTGTGAAGGCCGAAAAGTCATGTGAGCCAACAAACTTAGCCGACGCCTCACGGAGGAGCTCTTCAGAAAAGCCAAACTTTGTCGCGCGCCACTCATGGTACCTGTACAGTCTTCCGAGTGGATCGAAGACTGGGCTCGTCGAAATACGATATGTGTAAAGTTTCCCCTTGGCATTATAAATGGCATGCCACGGTCGAGTAGCAATCCCAACGTTGCCGCACTCGTCGGTCACTTTGCACGGCACGACCGTTGGGGCCACGCTGAGCACTGGCACCCTGACGTCCGGCGGCAGCATCTGATTGAGGGTGTAGTGAAACTTGCGCTCGCTTTCCCCGTCACGCAGGGCGCGCGCAATCGGGATGTCGAAATGCATGGCCTGGCCGCGAGCGTGCACGCCGGTGTCGGTGCGGCTGGCGCCGACGACGCGTATGGTGTGGCCGAATTTGCGACGCAGCGCGTCCTCGAGGGCGCCCTGCACGGTGGGCTGGTCGGTCTGGTACTGCCAGCCGCGGTAGAGCGTGCCGTCGTACGCCACGCGCGCGCGGATGCGCTGTTTGTCCGGGTTGGAGGGGAACGAGGAGGCGCGGCCGGGCTTCGCGGCTTCGGGAGGCGCAACCGCGCCGCAGATGATGAGTTGCCGCCGCTTTGCAGAAGGTCGCGCACGCCCTCCCCGCGAAGGGGATGGCAGTGGAGGAGTGACAAATGCGGACATGTTTCTGAGACTCGGGAGAACGGGGACAGCCGGTCACTGGATCCGGGATGCACTTTTGTTGGCGTTACAAAGGTGCTATGTAATGGGAAGGGGTTGGTGCGGATGAGCAGCGAGAAATGGCTGAAGGCAAATCCATGTTGACGGGTACGTTGTTATCCCGTGTGCACGTGTGCACGCGCGACGCCGAAGATGGGCGAGGATCGCGAATTGGAAACGTGATCGCTGACAAAGCTGTATGACAAGGACAGATCTCAAGTTGATCTCGCACAGAGGACTGCCCGAATTTCTAGCCCACACGTGTGCGCAGCTGTAAGCCTGCTTCTTCCATTCTCGAGGTCAACCCTCGCTGCTCATACTGTACATCTACCCTTCGTAAATACCCTGACAGTTTTAGCGTCACTCTGCAAACAAAAGGCCTTGGACGGTTTCCTTTGAAAACGAAAGTGCGACAAAGGGAGAGGGAGAAAGAGTGCGTGTGTGCATGCGGGGCGTGTGTTGGTACCAGAGAGATAACCGTTGGCCCTGCTTTTGTGCAACTTGGGTGCTACGTCGGTCATCAAGTGCTCCAGCTCGTTGCCTTCGGCGACATTCTTCATGCTGACCCACACACCGATGTCTCAACACCTACCAACTGACGCGAATTCGCGTTCACGCTCTTCGCCGCTTTCGTTCGTTTCCCCATTATCTGTCCCGCGCTCATCTAACTCAGCCCGGTCAGCCCGGTCAGCCCGGTCCGCCCGGCCCGGCTTCGGTCATCGTCCGGCCCGGCAGAAGCGCGCGCCCCTGACGATGCTCCGCGTGCAGAACAAGCGGCGGCCCGAGGATTGGGACCGCAAAAAATCGCAGCTCTCCGGGCGATTCTTGCCGATGGACCCGCGCGACGAGGTGATCCTCGACCTGCTGGAAAACGACAGCCATCGGATACCGGACGAGCAAGCGTTCGGGCCGCAAGGGCCGCCGTCGGACGCGTACGGCACCTCGGCGATCGACGGGCAGAAAAAGTGGAGCCGGCGGTCCGAGGCCGCCCGCAAGCGGTGGGCAGACCCCGCGTACCGCGCAAAGATGCTGGAGAAGCGCGCAGAGAAGCGCAGGAGGGACGCCGAGATGGCCGGCGAGCCCCCGAAGCAGCACAAGGTGGAGATCGGACGCATGGATAGTATTACGTTGTGTGATGAGGAGAAGGCAAAGGCGATTAACGATTATGCGAGGAGTAACAAGCTGAGGAGTGAAAAGATTACGGCGTTTCACAGGGATAGGAGAATGTGGATGGAGGAGAGGTTGAAGGATAGTCCGTCCCGGTTGTCGGATGAGGAGTATGACAAGAGGAAGAAGGAGACACAGGAAAGGAGGAGGCAGTCGGCGCTGAAACGGGAAAGGATGAAGAGAGGCGCGTTTGGGGCGGATAGGGCGAGGGCGGATGCGGCACAGACAGGGCGACCTCGTTGACGAGTGGTGGCGCTGTTGCTTTGAGCTGAGAGACAATGATGCGGTGACAGTGTGCGGAATACGGGCAATAGGCTGGGCCAGCGGGCGCCGCGTCCAGATGGGGGGACAACTGGTTTGGTGTGGCGGCATCGAGCGTGTACAACAATAAGGAGGGAATTCTGTATGTATCTCAACCTCTATTAGATTGTGGATGTTTCTACAATCTAGTGTCTAGGTGACAAATGACCTCATATGAGGTCACTTTTCAACTTATTTTTCTCGACTTGTGCTAGCTCAACAAGATGGAAAAAAGATACTCTCGACACGGCAGTTGACTTCTGCGTTGTGGAAGGGTGGAGTTTGGTGAGATCTGTATGTCTCCTCCAGCCATTTTTAAAATGCCCAAAAAGGAGCCTTTTTGACCAACCTCAAAACGTTTTATGTTGATATCTTCGAAACCAAAACGCCTGTTTAAAAAGTCAACTCATCATTGATAGTTCATTAGATTCTTAGTCTCTCTGTGCATTGACAACCGCCATCCCAATGTTTTGCAAGATGTTATTGCCGAGCGCGTATACGTTAAAGAAATGGTGTCCAAACTGAATGTTTTAAAGTTTCGATTTAATTTATATATTTTTGCAAAAAAAAGCTGGCCTCATATGAGGCCGGGTTTTTTTTGCAAAAAAGTATACATTAAATCGAAATTTTATAAAATCAGTTTAGACACCATTTCTTTAACCAATATTCCCTCAGCAATAGCTTCCTGCAAAACATCGGGATAGCAGTTATGAATACACAGAAATACTAAGAATCTAATATAGTTTCAACATTCGGATGATATTTTAAACAGGCGTTTTGGTTTCGAAGATATCAACAAAAAACGTTTTGATGTTCTTTAAGAAAGCTTCTTCTTTAGGTATTCTCAAAAAGCCTGGAAAGGACGTGCAGATCTCACCAAGCTCCACCCTTCCACAGCGCAGAAGTCAACTGCGGTGGCGAGAGTATCTTTTTCCATTTTGTTCAGCTAGCACAAGTCGAGAAAAATTAAGTTGAAAAGTGACCTCATATGAGGCCATTTGTCACCTAGACACTAGACACTAGTAGACATCGATAGCATGCACGCGCCCCACTGCTCTCATGGAGTCATCTCAGTGGGGGACGAGCCACTAATGAGTGTGACCCTTACCGTATTCAGTCGGCAGTGTCGACTGGCGACTCGACGCCGCATGCGACACCACACCATAACCCAAGACTCCCAACTTGCTGCATCGGTACACAAAACCCCGCATCCAAACCCGAGACTCCCAACTTGCTGTATCGTTACACAAAACCCAACAGCATCGCTTACATGTATCTCAACCCCTGCACAAGGGCTTGTAACTAAACGCCTGCAACTTGAAGTCCTGCTCTGTCTGTGTACATGTCAGCGAGGCTGCCGGTTCGTGTGAAATGATGCGGTAAGTTGGGAGTCTCCAGATAAGATGCGGTGTCGCATGCGGTGTCGCATGCGGTGTCACATGCAGTGTCGAGTGAATATGTTTATGGCTAGCACTCATGAGTAAGTCGCCACCCAGTGAAATGATTCCATGAGAGCGGAGATGAGAGCAGAGGGGCACGTGGGCGCAGTTGATGGAAGAAGGATGCTGTTTCCATTGCCTAACTCTCGGCGGTGCGGCTTCGCAGATCGGCGTGCAAGTCGCAAGGCTCGTGCAAGTCGCAAGGCTCGTGCAAATCGCGCTCGTGCAATGTGCGGATGGGAAGTGGACTGGAAGGGGATCAACAAGGTTGTTGTGGCGTACAACAAGTGGAGTGCTGGCCGGGGGGGCGGTAACGAACTTTTGGCTCCAAACGCGCGCTGGTGATTGGCACAGAGGTGCATATCTACAAAAGCTTCGTCCAGTAAAATAGCATCATTGCGACATCAGAGTCCAACATGGATCCAACATGTTTGATCCGGGCCTGCACAGTACCGTAGGAGCGTGGGATAGGCCCGTCACACCAGCAAGGCCTCCAGTTGCTCATTCATCTCCCATCTTCCTACTTCGTATGTCCCACCGCACGTCATTCGTCTTTTCTCGGCAGGTCGCCCCCCCCCCCCCCCCCCCCCCACATTTCACCCGATCTCCGGGGTCCCCACTGCCTCTATAAAGCCTATCTCACAGATTCCTTCTGCACTTGGTTTGCAGAGGCTCCGTCATTAGAAACAACACGATCCATCACCATCGACAAACACCATGCCCGCGCATGGTGATCTCCGCCCACGCAATGGCGAGCTCCGTCGGCGCAAGCCGGGAAGTCAACACGGAGCCCGTAATTTTCAACCGCATGTCACGACACCAGAGGAAAAGCCCGCCCCGCAACCGCGGTCCAAGACCCCGTCATCTATGTCTGGTTTTCTCCTCATCTTGCTTTGTTTCGCCATCAGTTTCCTCTTTATGCTCGCCGTCAATATCCAAAACAAACATCGCCTTCTCAATTTACACGAAGAACAGCCCACACCAGAGCGCCCATTCGTCACTGAGAATGCCCTCGCCCACATTCGCCGCATAGCCCCGAAGCGCCGCTGGATCGGCAGCTTAGCTCTGGAAGAGTCCCTGCAATACATCCAAGCGGAGTTGCTCGCCTTGCAGACCGTCGCAGAGAAAAATGATATGGTGCTAGAGGTCGAGTTGTTCCGATCCGGCCCGGGGAGCTATTTGATCGACATTATGGGCTTGGAGTTACCGACTACCTACTCCGACATCCCCAGTGTCGTCGCCCGGCTTCGCCCAGCTTCTTTGTCCGTGGATACGAAAGAGAAGGCCTTTCTTGTCAGTGCGCACGTCGATTCGGCCGTTTCTGCCCCGGGCGCTAGTGATGATGTCGTTGGCGTTGCCGTCGGTATGGAGGTCGCCCGCTGCATTGCGTCAAGTACTTTTTACGAGCTCAAGCGCCCCGTTCTGTTTGTCTTCAACGGAGGAGAAGAAGCCGTGTGCACTGGCGCGCACAGCTTTGTCACTCAGCATAAATGGGCTTCTACTATTGCTGCGCATATCAATTTGGAGTCGTTGGGGCCTGGCTCGGCGTTCCATCTTTTTAGATTGAGTTCACACAACGCCTGGCTCGTTGAGGCTTTTGCGGATTCTGTCACGTTGCCGTTGGCTTCCGTCATCTCTTCAGATTTTTTTGAAGCAAAGGTTTGTTCATCAGCACTGCATTCCTCTCTGGACACGACCACGGCAGCAATGCTACTTGAAAACGAAACATACCTGCCCACTTCAGCAGCGAATTTGTATATCGACTGCCATGCCACAATTCTCACTAACACTGTTTTTCGCGTTTGATTTTGTTTTGTCGCATTTCGTGTTGCAGCTGATACCGGGGGAGACAGACTTTCGCATTTTCGATGAAACTGGTGGCATCCCTGGGTATGATGTTGTTCTTCTTGACAATGGATATGTGTACCACACTGTTCACGATAGCATCGAAAAAGTCGATCCTGTTGGTGTTAAGCATGGAGGAGTCATCACCTTGGAATTGGTGCTTGCGATGGCAGGAAGCGCAGATGCGATTGGCTTTAACGAGAGAGGAGCGGTGAAGCAATCTAACTTCGACCGTTTCTATCAAGCAATCATTAAGTTTTCCACTGCGGTGGGACTTGTGAAGGATCCGGAGCGCCCTCGCGCAGTTTTCTTTGACTTATTGCTGATGAAGACCATCGTCTATGAGGAGGGCTTTGCCACTGTTTTCAACATCACAGTCCTTTTATCTACCGTTTTGATATGGTATTCAAAGCTCACGAAAATGAGTGCCGAAGATCGACGCACGAGTTTCAGGATGGTGGGAGTATTACTCGCATGTTTGTTGGGATCGTTTGCAAGTGCGACATTTGCATCTCTCGTGTACGTGGAGATTTATGGGGCGAAAATGCAATGGTACGGAAGTTCTGTTCTCGCATGTGTCATGTTTGCTCCACCGGCTCTGTTTGGAGCTGTTTCGGCGATGATATTGCTTCTGCCGCGGAGGATGACTACTGTCCGATACACTCAGATGCTGTTTGCATGCACTATCCATCATGCGGCGATGGCCTTGATCTTCATGTCTGTCGGCTTCATGAGCAGCTACATGCCTATCTTGTTGTTGCTCGTCAACAACATTTGTGCTTTGCAAGGAGAAGCAATCCACCCCGTCCTTCGACACTTGCAGATTTCAGGCGCTCACGCTGTTTTAGGTTCGGGGTTGGTGAAAGTTACTCTTTCTGCAATCCTCCCCATCCTGGGCCGCATGCGCATTGATATAGTGCATCATGACACAATCGCTGCATTGATCGTGGCCTATCTTGGCTTTTATTTCGTCATGCAACCGGCCCTGCCTATCTTTTGTCAATATCCCTCGTCTCTTAGGAAGGTGCAAGGACTGGCGTTCTTTTGCGCTACTGGGATTGCGGCGTATTTCGTTGCCTATGGACGGGCTGTTGGCGAACAAGCGGTGCATTCTATGTACAGTTCCGACGCACCGAAACGCATAATCTCTTGGCATTTTTATTCTCCGATGCAGAAGCCACAGTCTGTCATATGCGTCGGTTCTCAAGATGCGATTCCAGCAGATACTGCTCGCCTGATGTCAAAAATTTTTGAGACTGAGGGGAAGCGTGAAGCCTTACCCGACTACCCCTTGTGGGGTTCCATGGAAAGCACGTCCATCGAAACATATCGACCGTTTAGAGCCTTTCTACAAAGCGTTTCTACCTTTCAAGCAGATGAACGTCCCACTTTGCCTCTCCCAACTGCGATGGTGCTTGCAGAGGAAGAAGTCTTAGGAGGTTGGAATGTCACTATCCAAGTAGAGGCACAAGACTCTCATCATCTCACGGTGAGATTTCCCACGGGGAACAATACGTCTGTGGTCGACTGGTCTCTTGATGTGCCTCTAACGGATAGGCCCCATGGTGCTTGGATACGACATGTCGGCTCGTACGAGTTTAAATTCTGGGTTGTGCTTCGCAAAGAAGAAAATGTGTCGGTTCGTCCGAAGCATAAGATCGCAGTGACGAGCTGTAGGTTGGGTGCGTCGAAGAGTCCTAGTCATCTTTCTAAGCTCATTGCCGAAGACTGGGAATCTCACGCTCTGCTTGCGACAACGGGAATGGAGTATGAGCTGTAAGCATTGGACTAAAGCGAGAATATCTTATGCACATGCAAAATGCGTTTGTCTGGCCGACCTGCTCTACAGTTGGTCTTCCGATTCATAGCAATCCAAATCGGTATTCGTATGAGTCGTTGTGGCCCACGTGTGTTGTTGGCTAGTCTTTTGAATCACGTGCCGGGGATACGGCAGAGGTTATATCAACTTCTTTCAAGTCATGAGTAGAGGGCATTGTATATTGCTGGGGATTAGAGGAAAGAAATGCTTGTCTTTCTTGGGGCAGAGACGAGGCAGATGCGCTGTTGCTGAAATTCTCGTAATCGTTATCATAGCCCTGGTCGCCTTCATCCTCGTCCTCGTCCTCATCTTCATCAATGTGTACAGGAGTGGATTCCATTTTAAGAGAGCGTATCGCGTCAGTCCGGTCTTCTTGTCGATCTGACTTAAGGTGGTCGCTCGCATTCTCAGCATCTGAGTGTGGCCTATTTCCCTGCTCTGATGGTGGTGAGATGTAATCACGCAACAGAAACATCAAAATCGGGGATGTCAAACTGGTAAGGCCGATTATGCCCCAGAGAATGTTGCCGTGATGGGGACCGTCAGCGGGCATGAAGGAGGTGAGCAACCAACCTGACATTCCACCGACAACCAACTTGACGGAAAATAACGGGGCCGAAGACAAGCTTGAGTATAAGCCTTCTGCACCTTCGGCGCTCACTGCCATTGTGTAATCGTACACTCTTGGTGAATACACGGCTTCCCCGATACTTAAGGTGACCATAAACAGAACCATGCTGAAGTATGTTTGCTTGAAGCATAGCCAAAACGGACTGACAGCTGAGACAAAACTGCCTGCGAGTATCATAGAGAACGAGTCTATTTTCCTTGCCACGAGGCCAACTATGGGAACGAGAAAGATGATGAGGAAGGGGTTGATTGCATAAATGAGGCCGAAAGGGGCCGACGGACCAAACTGGCGAACCATGTACTTCGGCATGGTGGCATCAATGTGTCGGAAAACAAGACGAACGCCAACTAGCAATAGGGTGAACACTGTGAGGCGCCAGAATGCCGGCTCCCGAAGAACAGTCATCGTTTGTTGCATGGGACTCTCCCTGTTGGGAATGAACTCTCGTATGCTGCCAGACTCATCGACCTGAATTTCCCTGATGCCGATAGCAACGATGATGCACATGGCGGCCGTAGCAACGGAGCTCGTCAAAATAATCAGACGCAACCCCGTAAACCTGACGTCAAGGCCGAGCGGGTCAATGTGAACGGTAAAGCCATCTCCAAACGTCGAGCGCGACAAGTCCACCAGAGGCCCCGCGCACAGGGCGGCCACGTTCATCATGGAATAGAAGAGCGAAAACGCAAAGGTGCGATTCCGTGCATTGGTATATCTCTTAATGCCAATGGTCATAATGGGAATGCCCAAGCACTCTGCAAACGGCAGTAACGTATACAGCATAAACAGTGCTGTGCCCTTCGACACGGCAAGCGCCATAACAAACCTGGAAAAGGCGCCGACGAGCGCGCCCACAAGCAAGCTCGCCCTGACGCCCATGTAGTCAATAAACCAGCCGCACATCAGGCCGAAAAACGTGCTCATCACACCATAGGCGCCGTATGCCCAGCCCGCAGCCGTGTCGGACATACCAAACTCATCAGTCAAAAAGGTGGTGAGGATGATGGACAACGAGAAGTAGGCGTAGCTGGACAGAAACTTCAAGCCAAAGATGAGCCACAGCTCGCGCGGGGCCTCGTCCAGACTGCGGAGGTGCTCCAGTGCCTTATCCAGCCTTCGGCGAATGGCGGACCTCCCCCGCGTGCGGGTGTCGGTGTCCGGGTGTGGCGGCGGCCTGCCGGCGGACGCACGGCCCGCGCGTCTCGGCGGGACGCGGGTGGGCTTCCTTCCGGCGGCGGCGGCGGGCGGGGCGGCGGGCTCTG